TTAGCTCATGGTAATTTCCTTTCTTAATGCTATAATTGCGAACGTTGCGAGGCAATTATGTCAAACGATTTATCCTAACGTTTGATTGTTATACATTGGATTGAGCACGGCGAGTAAATAATTCATCCTTCGACGCTTATATTTAATTGAAAAACAGCGCTGCCGTAGTGTCAAACATTTGCAATCCCTCAAAAATTATACTTTCCAAACATTTAAATAACTGGTGAACATTTGAAATACGCCGTAGCGCGAATATCGATCATTAGACTTCGTATAGAAATTTGCTCGCCTGTCGTTTCAGACATACGATGCATTTAGCATGCAATTAGCGTTATGTAAAGTTTCACATTTTTCGTTATTTCTTTATTTTTCATTTTATTTTATTGGAAGACGGCGATAAAAGACCAGAATTCTGCCTTAAGAAACTAATTATTGAATAATAAAACGTAGAATACCGGCAAGGAATATATTAATCGGCTCGAGTCAATTGACCGTTCGTCCCTGGCCGTTCTAGATCGCGCGAATGGCGGTTAATGGCCGACTCTCCTACGTTTCGGTCGATCTTATTGGCAGAAGGTGCGTTACTCGATAGGAAAATTATATAAGCCTCCGTTGGAAAATATACGAGTCGGCGTTACGCGCCACATTTTCCTCGTTTAGCGTCTGAACGATTGATTCCGAGTTGACGAAAGCCTACGCTGACTCGCCGCGCGTCTCGGCAATACACAGCCGCCCGATGAAATTTGGAAAAATAGTGCAAACCGGCATAATTCGATAAATATTTTCGCGTGTAATGTCCGCCAATTGTTAACTTTTATTTTACACGCGAGGAAAACGATCGTTTTATGTATGCTGTCGTAAATATTTTTAGGAGAGTGCCGCGATCGGTTAAAAAATTTGTTGTACTCCGCGTAGGGACTTTCCAGTTAATGATACGCGTTTTCGTAATCTAGCATAAATTTTACGGTATCGTAATATTAAAGTAACATGTTGCAAAGAGAAAGAATGAGAGAGAGAGAGAGAGAGAGTGAGAGAATGGAAGGGGCAGGGGAGGGAAGGGAACAACGAACAAGAAAAGGAAAGAAACAAAAAAGGAGAAAAATAAGAATAAATTACATGGTGTTGATTAGTGTAAACCAATTAGCGGTAAGTACTCGGATAAATCGTTTTACAACAAAGCTTATTAACGCAACAAAAATCCAGTGTACAGCGTAGAGTAGTGCTGTTATAAAAACAAAAAAGAGAGAGAGAGAGAGAGAGAGAGAGAGAAAAAACAGAAAAAAAAGACAGAAAAAATGATGCGTTTGTAATGTCTGTATCTCACTCGCTACATGTCGTAACACATCGAAGTCGTGGAATTGTAATACTCACGTATGAGATTTCATGAAGCGCAGTGCACAAACGTAATTTTTCTTCTTTGTTCTTCGTTTTTTTTTTTATCTCTTTCGGGAGGGGGGCCGGGTGAGGCCCTCTTCCGTCGTACCTTTAACCTACAATTGAAATGATTCCGCGCATCGTTATACGAGCATTCGATTATTTTCCTTTCGCAGGTCTGATGGCCGCCGAGGCAGTCGCGGCGATGATTGCCGACGACCTGGCGACCAAAGCTCTTAACGAAGGAAATGCCGAGAACGTGATCTACAAAATGTACAAAAATCTGCCAGCGGTCCAGAGAATTTGATCGGCAACTCGGATTCTGCGCACCTGCCACTCCTCCAATTCGCCTTTCCATTTATCAATCCTGTAATTTGTAATTTATTATGAGCGGCTGCTCAGGCTACCACTACTCATACGTTCTTAAGTATGTATGATTAGTGTAGAATGCAACCGGCCCTCTATATAAATGCCAATGTAAAGATTTACGTATTTGTTAATGCTTAATACTTCAATAAAATGTTACAATTCATATTTTAACGGCGCCGTTCCAAAGCGACGCATTTTTATTTCTAAACTAACGACAAGTGTTGTGAGACACTGATAATTAAAGAGGTTTAGACGCCACCGCATAAAAAACTCATATCATTTACGGGAAAGTACATCTTGGAGGAACATTGAAGTAGCGAATGAGATGGAAGCGAAGCGTATCAGGGAGCCACGGGCCGTTACATAAAAAGCTTACATAAAAATGTCTTGGAAGTCTTTCGATGAGCGCGAAAAGTTTGCGACTACGCTCGCTTGGCTCGGCTCGGCTCGGCTCGGCTCGTCATTGTCGTAAAAAGGCTTTTGAAAAGTTGTATTAAAAGCACGCGACCAAGTGGAAAGCGTCGCGATACGGCTCGACTAAAACCAAGCACCGCCACACGTAAACAATAAGGTGAAACGCGGCAGCGGGCGCGCGCGCATACTTAAGCGTGCTCGAGCAACAAAAGTCGATTCCCCAAAAGAATGGCGAGGGTAAAAGAGCGAGAGAGGGAGCGAGAGCGTGACGACTAGTGGAAGGGGCGGATTTCTGGCAGGGGCGGGGAGGAGGAGGTATTGGTGGGGGGGGGGGGGGGGAAAC